GTCGCTGCAATCCTGCCTGTCATGTGCGTGTCCCTCGCTCGCTCCCTACCTGGTGCTCTGCCTGCATGGATGTCTGTGTCCTCGCTGGGGGGGGGGGGGGGGGGGCCGAGAAGCAATTAAGCCCTTCTCATTGGGATGGCAGCACCGGCGAGGGTGGCAGCCGCCGCTCCAATGGCTATGGCCGGAGTGTGTCAAAGGGTCCCCGGGGAGGGGCACGCGAGCTGGCCACCGTCCGGGTCGAAGAAAAAAAAAAAAACATCTCGGGACTGCGAGGAAGACCCCGAGAGAAAGCGAGAGCAATGGAAACATGGGCACCGGCAGATCTCGGTGCACGGAGGTGCAGGCGGCTTGTGCCCGGCCCCGGCCCCGGCCCCGGCCCCGGCCGGTGTACCCTCCGCGCTGATAGCAGGGCCTCGGGCCGGGCGTATAGGTGGCGGCAACCGAAATCGGCCGCCGGCGCCAGACAACAGGGGCACTCACGCCCCGGGCCCTGTGTGCGCGTGCTTTACTGCCCATGAGGGGTCCCCGCCTGGGGCGGTCTCTGGGTCCGGGGGGGGGGCCTGAGGCCGCCGGCTTGCGATTCCCTGGCCTCGGCCCCCAACCCCTGGGTCCGCTGCTCGGCCCGGGGGGCACGCAGGGCCCGGGGGGACACGGCATGTGCGCCGTGATCGACGACCTCGCCGTGCACGCTCCCCTCCGCCTCCGGAGCGCTGATCGGCCACAGCGGAAGGGGGCGGAGGGGGGGGGGGGGGGGCGGGGGGGGGGCGGGGGGCAGCCCACACGCCCGGGGATAAGGTCGCCCACGCATTCGTTCGCGAGCCTCTTCGAGTGCACTCTCTGGGCCCGGGCCATGTCCGCCGGCCATGGCGTCACCGATGGGCGGAGCCAGCAACCGGTGATTGGGACATTAGTGTTTGTTGTTTGTTGTTTACCCACCGGCCAGGCCATATTGCTGGCGGCGCCCCTGCCATCGCCCGTGTATGTGGAGCACGCCAGCCGCTGGGCCTTCAGAGTGGCGTCCAGCGGGGAGGCGGGGAGAGCCACAAATTGGAGCGTGATCGTGCTGCTGAGTCATCTGGAGCGGGGCCTCCGGGCCGGGGTCCGAGAGCCGCGAAGGCACACCGAGGGCGGCGGCCACGAGAGGCACAACGCCCTCGCGCGCGCTGCCTTGATTAAGACTGCCCCGGAAAGGACAAGTTCCGGGACATCGAGCCCCGGGGCGCATGAGGGGGCCGGGCATGCTCGGGTGCCGCCACTCGCGCGAGGCCCGGCTGGCCGGGCGGTGCTCGCCGGCCCGGCCGATCAAGGCGCCCCCCCCCCCCGCCCTCGCATGCATGCTGGCGGTGGCCCATGCGGCCGGCCAAGCCCGGGCCGCCGGTGTCTGGCTGATGGGGAGCAGGCAAACAGAGCCATCACTCTTGACTCGGTGCTTCGCTCCGCCCCATGGGGGGAGCCTGGGCAAGAAGTTTGCACCCTCGCAGCGGTGGCGGTGGCGCCGGTCGGCTGGGCTTTTATTATGGCGAGCGGGCATTCTTTCACACACACACACACACACACACACACCCTAGACCCTACCTCGGAAGGGGGAGGAGTCTGGAGGTGTGCGTGTGTGTGTGTGTGCCGGTCGATGCGTCCCCCAGGGTGAGGGGCTGTTTTGTCAGGCGGCCCGGGCCTTTCGCAGGGACCGAGGATGCTGGAAAGGGCGTCCGCCGCAGTGGCGACGAGGCCGTGCCACCGACGGGCGGGGGAGCGCAGCACAGCAGCCAGCAAGAGGGGGGAGGAGCCCGCGGGCCCACATTGATGCAAGTGTCGGGCGGTCGAGCGCCGCACGCCGCCGGGGCAAGGCCAGCCGCTGGGGCTCATGTGCTGGGCCTCCCCCGGGCGCATGAATGTGCGCGCGCCGAAGAGCGACAACCAGGCCGACACGGCGGCGCCCCCGGGCACCTCCAGTCGCCATGTGGTGGATGTGGCAATCTACCACGGAGCCCGGCTTGCTTGGCAAAGCCTCAATTCCAGCAGCCACGCATTTGCGCCCAAGGAATGGGGCTTCTCCGGGGCGGACATTCTCGTGAGTGGCCCCGTGTGTGTGTGTGTGTGTATGTCCTTCAGATCGCACGCGTGCCTGGGACCCAGGGGGTTGCGAGAACGGAAGGATGAGCCCGCGTGAGATGGCGGTGTAAAGGCAATGCGAGAGGAGGTGGCCCGGCGCATGTGCAGCGGTGGCTTCCCTGCGGCAGGGGGCGCGGGCTTGCCTGCGGCTGTGCTCGTCCTTTCGGGTGCACGGGAGGGGGAAACGCCCAGGCCACCGACATCCAGGGGGGGGGGGGGGGGGGGCGGCAGCAGGACAGAGAGACACGGCTGGAGACGTCGAGTGCATGTTAAGGCCTTGCGGCAGGCCACTTCACTCGGGCCTCCTGGCAGGTTGAAGCCGGCAGGGGAGCCGAGGGGGGCCGGCCGGGACACACACGCGCCCAAGCACAGGGGCGCACGCCCGCCGGGCCGCCGGCGCGAAGCTCGGCAGTTCTGCCAGGCCCGGGGGTACACATGTTTACGATCTCACGGTTAAAGGCGGCCCCAGGGTGACTGGCTGTGTTAAGGCTCGGCGCGCGCGTGGCGGGTCGCCTTGCGAAGCGGTGTGTATGCGCGCGCCGGGCGGACCCTGGCCGATCGAGCCAGGGGCCCGGCCGACCCCCGCGGCGCTTCCGCCGGTGCCCCCTTTGATCGTTCCCGCAGGCCGGCGTGCGTCGGCGCTGCCAGCCCCCGGCGGGAAGATCCCGCACGGCGCACGCACACAGCAGGAGCCG